TTAATAAGATAATCATAAATAATTTATATGTGTAAAAAAATTTATCTTTATGATGACAGTAAGATCATTTCTAATTTTATGTTATTTAAATAAATATATTTAAAAAATTATTAGTTATTCAAATTTTTAAAATTTAAAAGAAAAACAAAATCATATATATCTAATTATTTATGCTTGAAATTAGTTTATAGTTAAAATACAATGGAAAAAATCCTATAAATTATGGTTAATTATAAGGGTTTTTTAAAAAATCACAAATTATTTTTTAATTTTAATTTTTTTCTTACCAAATAATCTCATATATTTTAAGTATGATAATATTATTTATCAAATGAAAAATATATAATTTTATATCAATTAAATCTTAGAAAGTTAGTTAAATAAATTAAATTAAATTATACCAAACTAATTAAAATAAATTAAGAAAATATCTATTTTTAAATTCATATTCATGTTTGATTAATGAATTTTTTTCAAAAATCAAGCAAAGGAAATAAAAAAAAAAACTCAAATGGACCGTAATGTATATAATTTTTTAACTTTATTAAGAAGTAGACATATTCATTAGTTGGATTATGAGTCAGATCTATTATTTTATGCATAACTTTTTAAGTATGGATTCAAAATATTATTATATTAAAAAATTATTTAATTTTAAATTTAAAATATATTTAATGTTATAAAATTTTAAAATTTTAATAATAAATATAAATTGAATAGCTAATTTGAGTCAAACTTGAAACATAATATAAAATTTAGAAATGTTTACAACTGAATGCTACTAAATTCATTGATACTTCTTAATTTTTTTAAATTCATATTTTTTAAAAATTATGTTTATGAAAATATCAAGTACTTACTAAATGAGATTTGATTTGAAAAATAAAAAAGAAAGAAATCAAATTGGATTTGGATTTATCCTAACCTTTTTATAAATAAAAAGAGTGTTATGACTTGAGGCAGAAATATACTAGATTATAAATTTTTATACAAAATCATAATTGATGTGTTAATTATATTACATTCATAAAAAATGATTTCAAAATTCAATTAGTTCATGTTATTTGTAACAATATTTTGATATAAATAATAGGTTCAAATTCATCTAATCAAACAGACTATTAATGAAAGTATTTTTGCATATTGTAAAAAAGCTGAATTAAAAGAAAATAAAATATTACTTGATTAAGTGAAAAGTTAAATATAAAGAAAAAATGTTTATAGATAATACTTACAAAATAAAAGAAAAACTATTTTTTTGTAATTTTGCACCTTATAATATATGAAAAAAGAAAGTCAATTAAAAGAAAAAATATTACATAATTAAGTGAATAGTCAAAAGTAAGGAAAAATGTTTGTAAATAGCACCTACAAAATATAAAAATATATATGTTTATGTAACTTTACATATTGTAATATATATATATATATATATATATATATATATATATATATATAGTCAAAGTTAAAGACTGTGTGTGTATTATAAATATCTAAAAAAGAAAAAATAAATGCTTCTATAACTTTCACTTTTTAATATAAAAAGAAAATGAGTTAACACAAAAATGGAGAACAATGAAAAAAAATGATGTTAAAGAATGATATTAAACAATCATTTATAAAATATTAAGAGATTAAATTTGATTCATTTAGAAAAAAGATTATTATGAAAACTATTAAGATTGAATTATATTTGATATTTTTAAAATTTAAATATATATAAAAATTAATTTTAAAAAATAAAAAATATAAATTATTGTTTTGATTGAAAATGATAGGTGAAGTTTTTTATATCCATGGACAAACTTTACAATTATTAATACAATAAATTTAATTGTAAAGGCAACAAAATATAAACGTTACGAAATGTAACACTACTTACAAATCAAGAACAATTGTGCTTTTCCACTACTATTTGGTTATTTAGGACTAATCCCATATCTAGACCCACACATATTTTTAATTATTAAAAAATTAAATTTTAAAAATAAAAAGTTATGTTTAAAGTTGTATTTGACAAATAAACATGATTTTTTTAGCAAAAAAAAAAAAGAATAATTTAAAATTTTCAAATAAACATATATTAAAAAGATTTGGATAACCAAATAATTTTTTAAATAAATTTATTTAATCCATAAATAAAAGTATAAGAATTAATTTTACTTATTTAAATAAAATCTTACCAAAATAAAAAATAATAATTTTATCCCTTTAATTATTTTAAATGTAAATTGAATTTTCATTTAAATTTTAAAAGTTTTGGATAATTAAATAAAATTTGAAATTTATTTTTTGATAAGGAGTCTAAAATTAAAAAAATATCTTCTATATTATTATAAAAGAAATTTTAGCAATTTTTTGTGTAAAAAAAATTTATTCACGTAAGCATCCATATCAACAAACTTTATCTGATAATCATATATTTTATATAATATATATATATATATATGTTAGATAATTATTAAGTGGTTGACTCAATTTGTTAAATATCGTTATCTTCAACAAAAAAATTTTGTGTTCGAATTTTATTGATAATTATTTATTAAAATTATATCGAATGTATGACTTATAATTATTTGTCATAAATTATGAAATACAATATATTTTATCTCGACTCGAAAAATTTAGTAATCTATTTATTTTTAAATTAAAAAAAAACTTATAGTCAAATAATTCTATTAATATAACAAAAGGATAATCCTAGAGTTAGGGAGAAATCCACTCAAAGAAAAGCCTCGCATTGATCCAATGATTGATGAAACTTCAAGTGCTGAAAACCTTGGAACAGTATGCCCATTTGCCAACAGGTAAAAAGTGAATTGAGATTGAGGTTTGTGAAGAGGATTCAGCTTCAGACACCGCCTGGAAAAACTTGGTAGCTGTGACTGCCAGCTACTTCAATAATAAATTGCACGCAGAGCAGGGGCAGCCACCCATTTCTTGCCACTGATTGTAAGATGTAAACGAATGATTGAAAAGTCCATTCAGGTCTAGTAAGATTTAGATATAAAATATTAAGATTTAAATTTTCATAAATTTTTATTGATAAATAATTTATAAATTAAAATTTTTTAAATGATTTACAAACCTCATTTATGAATTAACGATTTATCTTGATTTTGAAGAGTTATTTTTAAAATTTTTCAAATAAAAAAAAATAAATGCTTTAAGAACAAGCCTATCTATATTTGTCCATGCAATTTTATAAATAATCATAAATAATATTTTTAAATTTATTAATTAAACTAATAAATAATAAATATGATAAAATTTATTTATATTTATTTAATTGCTTTTTCAAACACCTCCTTCATAACATGAATATGTGTCAAAGCAGTATTCAAAACTTTATGCATAAAAGGAATACCAAAACCTTAACTTTTTTGTTGTCAAAATCTGGTAAAAAGGAAGGCTTCAAAGTTCGAAGCTTTGGGTTTTAGTGGGTTTTCCGTTTTCTTTTTTTTTTTGTACATTTTTGTTCTATATATCTCCTATTCTTTTTTTCATAAAATAGCAAAATTGCAGAGACAGGTCTAAGAACTAAGAAGTTAAGTTGCTTGACAAGTACGGACTTGTAGACTGGGACCCACGAGTACAGATAGCGAATTTAGATGATGATACGTGTACGGCCAAGTTTCGTCTGTTTCGGCCTCAACTGCTCTCATTTACTCGATCCATAGCCTTAGGGTTGGGCCGAGCTGTGATAATATTTATCCGATTTAGATCTAAAAATTTATGTCTGTCATATGATATAAAATATTATATTATATTCATATTATATTTTATATAAAATTTATATATCATAATTTATATCAACTTAAAAATATAAAATATAATTTTTTTAATTTTATTAAATTTATTTATAATTTTTTAAAAATTTTAAATTATATTATTTTTATATTTTATATTTATATTATATTATTATATTATATTTTAAATTATCAAATTTATTTATCAGTTTTCAACACGTTTTACACGTATGCAAGAACAAATGATTGAATTCACTTGTTTCGTAGATGAATCAAATGAATGCTTCATCTTATTACATATGTTTTCTTTTTTTTTTTTTAAATTTTTATAAAACAATATTAATTAGATAATTATTTTCATCTAAAATATTTTTGTCTTCATCTTATTATATACGTTAATTTATGTTTAGGAAATGACAAAACCTTCTAAAGTAAAACTTGTCACAATATTTCTATTTTTTATTTTAAAAAATTTTCAATCACTACTAAAATATCAAAAAAATTATTGAACTAAATAATCATATGTGTTGATTCTTGTTTTAATTTAATTTAATTATTAGAGATATTAATTTTATCCATATTCAATAAAAATTTTGATTTTTTATTTGAATAAAAATGAAAATAGATGTTATATCATGAAAATTTTAATATAATTGCATATAGATTTAAATTTTTTTATTCAATACGGAGATGAAGAGGATAATATAGCACCGATCTCATATCCATAAACTATATATATTTATATATATTTAGTAAATAATTTTTTATTAAATAATATAAATTATTATTTTATATTAATTATAATTAATATTTTTATTTAAAAAATATCTTAATAAATATTTATAAAAATTATATAAATATATAATATAAAAATAAAAAAACTAAAAATAAACTTTAATATATATTTTTTAAAAGTTATGAGTACAATAATTATACATACTCATTAAATACTCATAATAATATGATAAATTTAAATATTCATTGAATATAAATACAAAAATAAATATAATATGAAAATTAAAAAATAAAATAAATAATACTTTATTTATCTCATACCCTATCAATTAACATTCATATTAATTATGACTTACTAGAGTGAGTGCAAAGAAAATAAGGATGACCTTATTTTTACCTATACTAATTTTAACATAAATAAATCAGTTGCTTTTACTTAGATATGAGTATGATACATAAGTTTGATAATTGACCATATAAAATATGTATATACAAGAAAATAGAGTGACCAAAAGAATTAAGCTGAAAGAGAGGAGGGGTCATGATCAGAAAAGCCTGAGAAAGAAAATAAAAATGAAAGAGCTAAAGCAAAGTGTTCCCAGAAATATAGTGACATCTGTCAAACAAACCCCCACCTAGGCAAGACTCCCCCAACCCTTAAACGCTATATAAACCCCACCAGCTCTCCCCTAGTCTGCCCCAATTTTCATAGTCAAGTTGGCCTCTGCCACCTCTCCTTCTCTCTCTCTCTTGGATTCTCTTCTATTCTTATGCCACCATGCAAGGATTTTACTACTCTTTGCCAGCATCACCACCCCAAACTTTTCTTGCAACCTTTACAACTTTCCAAGATTGTCAGGTTCCCTTTCTGATTACACCAATTCTATTCTTTTCTTTGGTCTTGTTGTTGGTGGTGCTGCTATTGTTGTCTATTCATCAATGGCGACACCCCAAGGACAAACTTCTGCCACCTGGTTCCATGGGTTGGCCTTATATTGGCGAGACTCTCAAGCTTTACACTGAGAATCCCAATTCTTTCTTTGCCAACAGGCAAAAAAGGTATACATAAAAACAAATACATGAAATGAAACAGCGGGTTAGACGATAAACTCTCTAGCTCAGGTGCTAAAAGGCTACCTAGAGAATCGAGACAAAGCTAATGATAGAAATTGTAACGAATATTATCTGTGTATGTGGAAAACAAGTAGAAAAAAGAAAAGAGAATTTCAATTTCCTTGTTGATCATTTTGTTTAAAATTCTTTATATCTTTCTTTTATCAGTTTAGCGGATTTGGTTGTTCCTGATTCTTTATTTATTACAGGTATGGAGATATATTCAAAACTCACATATTGGGATGTCCCTGTGTGATGATTTCAAGCCCTGAGGCAGCAAGGATTGTTCTGGTGACAAAGGCTGATCTTTTTAAGCCAACTTATCCACCAAGCAAAGAGAAGATGATAGGACCTGAGGCTCTATTCTTTCATCAAGGTGCCTATCATTCAATGCTGAAGAAGTTGGTCCAGGCCTCGTTTTTACCCTCTGTAATTAGACGGTCAGTTACAGAGATTGAGCAGATTGTTTTAAAATTTCTACCAAGTTGGGAGAATACCACTATCAACACCTTGCAAGAAATGAAGAGAGTATGTCGGTTTGTTATAACTATTTTTATCTTTTTCTGCATGACTCTCGTCTGCACATCATCGGGAGTCTTAAAGAAAGTTTTTGCTTTTATTTTGGCATGTTTAGTATGCTTTTGATGTGGCAATGATTTCTGCCTTCGGGCACAAACAAGACTTGGAAATGAAAGGAATCAAGCAACTCTATCAATGCCTGGAGAAGGGTTACAATTCTATGCCTTTGGATCTTCCAGGAACTCCTTTCCACAAAGCAATGAAGGTATATATACAATTAATTTCATTCTGCTTCTCTCAGAGTCTTTCTGATTGGGCTCTTCTATACAAATAACGAGTTCTTCTTGTCTGTTTGGAAATAGGCTAGGAAGCTACTGAATGAGACCCTGAGAAGATTGATACAAAATAGAAGAGAAAATGAGAAACAAGGAGGAGGATTGCTGGGAGTTATGTTGGAGGCCAAAAACCAGATGGTTGATCAACTGAGTGATTCTCAGATTGCTGATAATTTAATTGGAGTGATCTTTGCTGCTCATGACACCACTGCGAGCGTCTTAACATGGGTTTTAAAGTACTTGCATGACAATGGAGATATACTAGAAGCTGTCACAGTAAATTTTCGCTCAATTTGATTGAGGAGCTTTTGCTTCATTTCAATTGAAATTTTTTATCTGAAAAAAAGGCAATCAAATCTTGTTCTTTATCCTATATTTTATTCATTCTCAGCCATATCTTGCAGAGAGAACAAGAAGGTATTCAACGCAAAATAATTGAAGCAAATCACAGGCTTACCTGGGATGATACGAGGCACATGCCACTGACTACCAGGGTATATTATCAATTTGACAAGTTTCATTCTCCTTTACTATTTTATTACCAAATTAAGAAAACATTTTATTAAAGAAACACATTGGAGTGTATACTTTAATACAGAGATCGATCTGGATTTCAGGTAATTCAAGAGACACTAAGAACAGCAAGTATACTGTCATTCACGTTCAGAGAAGCAGTGCAAGATGTCGAGTTTGAAGGCTATTGTATCCCCAAAGGTTGGAAGGTTCTCCCCCTCTTCAGAACCATCCATCATTGCGCAGATTTCTTCCCTCAACCCGAAAAATTTGACCCTTCAAGATTCGAGGTGAGGCCTTGCAGTGCTTTACCAAATGAAATTTGCCAAGCAATATATAAATGGGTTAATCACATATATATGTTGTAGACATTCTTTAACATGTTCTAAAAGAAAACCAATTAACTAAAAATGATCAAACAATAAAAGTGATATAAGAAAGAGCTCAATTTGACTTTTTGGATCTTGGCGAATCATAAAATTGTTAATAGTATAAGCCCTGGCATTGTTTAATATAATTGGAGTCCCTGAACAAGATTCGTGAAGTGGGTCATGCACTATCCAGTTTTGGCAGAAACATAATGTTATAAATGGTTTATCTGATGCTGGTGTGTCCTTTTCAATATTTTACTGTGAATCTTCCCTCTACTCACTAAACGATCTTGTTGATGAAATCTTTCAAGTATCAGACCATGTGAGCTGATTTTGTAGGGTAGTAACAGTGCAGTTTGAGTCTAAACTTTCTTTGGAAGTATCTAAGACATTTCAGCAAAGTTAGCTTAGGCCTTTTAGGTGTAGGGTATTCAGAAAAGATCACGAAAGAAAAAAAAAATGTATACTCTCTTATATTCATGTTGTTTTCTGTGATGTTGCAGGTGCCACCGAGACCCAACACGTTTATGCCGTTTGGCAATGGAGTTCACTCTTGTCCAGGCAGTGAGCTGGCTAAGCTTGAGATGCTGGTGCTCCTCCATCATCTCACCACCAGCTACAGGTAATTCCCTCTTTTTCCTGTCTTGTTCACATCAACTTTTATACAAAAACAATAGTTGAGATGATCGAAATGTAGTGGTTTAATCCTCCAATTCAAGAACATAATCATTAATTTTGTTTTGAAAATGTAAGATAAAATTAAAGCCGCGTATATATATTGGTATAAAAAAAATTTGTTGAAGTTTTTTTTTTGTCTATTCGTAGTTGACTGAAGAGGTACTTACCGAAAGTGGTCCTCTTGGTGTACCTTAGTCTGTATAATAAACCTAGCAATTCTTGTGTGGTCATATTATTTCTGTCAATCATGTATAAAATATAAAAATTATTATGATATAATTTGTATTTATATGTTAAATATTAAACATATTTTTATAATTTTTGTCAAAATCTATTGTTTGATTTTTTAACAAAATCTATATACTATTTTTATAAAAATTTTAAATGTTTTCGCATCTTTTTTATATTATTTTTATATAATATCATCGAATTGTACTTTAAATTATAGGGGTTAAGTCCCAATTAATCCTAACACTAGCATTCAAGGCGAGTTGGCTTAGCCCTTTTGGGGCATTGTAACATATTCTCTGACCCTTTTCCATGAAAGACAATAGCAAACCCTTTGAAAACCCCTGTCCCCTTTGAGAAAAAAATGTTCAGACATTGTGATCATCTAACTTCAGTTGTCTATGTGTCATACTTAGGCTTTGTATACAAACAATTTGGATTGGATAATTGTGATAGACACATCTACTGGTTTTAGATTTCTAAGAACTTTAATGCAAGATACTGAAAGCTAGAATTACAAATCAAATTTGCTTTGTCGACAATCTGGAATACCAGAGTGGGACCCTCTATAAATTATGAACTATGGCAAAGGAGAACGGACTCCTCCATGTCTTTGAGACATGGATTTTGAAAATTGTCCTTCCAAAAACTACAATTCCATGCAACCAAATTACACCCCCACTCTCCTCCTAGCAACCTGACGGATTTAGCTAGCTGTGAAGTCTTGATCAAATGGCTATATAGACATCTAGGTTTTCCAGCTGTTAGGAACACAGTGGCAGAATGTGATGATGTTTCATGATGAGGGGGCAGCCCTCTCATTTGAAACCACAGCTTTGCTATGCAAGTTTTACGCTGCATCATTTCTTAGTTTATCATCTTTTAAGATTATTCAATGCATTTTTGACCTGATCTACAGTGTCCAGCCTGATGGCTTAGTTGTTCATGACTTGTTTGAATGCAAAATTTCAGAGATGTAATTTGGTTGTTTATGACATGTACATTACTTGTTTATTTTCAAATGATTATCTTTTAAACTTGGTAAATCAGTTTTCACTGAAAGCTGCGTAAGGATAAATGTCAATAGTTAGCAAGTTTGAAGTTCAAGAAATATTCCCATCAATTTTGCTCTTCTTGAAACCTTCCAATGTTTGGCTGCAGGTGGCAAGCTGTGGGAGATAAAGATGGAATCCAGTACGGTCCCTTTCCTGTTCCCAAACGTGGCTTACCTGTAAAGGTCTCCCCTAGAAAAATAAAGGCAGCATGAACAATAGGATTCCTGGATTTGGAGTCAGTGAAGATTGAAACTGTCCACAGGGGCCAAAAGCAAGTTAACCCCATTGAGCTCTTCTCTTTTATCTTTTTATCTTCCCTTTTTGGTTGTTAAATTTTTCAGTGGGAATCTTTCGTAATTGCTTCAAAGCTTTCTCGAGTTAGGGTTTTTTGTCTTGGTTTGTTCGGGGTGAAGTAAATGTATTGTGTATTAAAACAAAAACAATAAGCAAAATGCAAAAAGGAAGAAAGAAGTGTATTTGCAATAGTGCGTTTGAAACAAGTTCGTCTGTTTTGAGGATCAAATCTGTGTGGTCTAGAACGTTGATGAAGTAGCCATCATATTCCCAGATTTTTTCTCCCCCTTTCTCTTCTTTGCCTGGTGCTTGTAGAGGGCAAAGATAACCTTTGCCAGGGAAGGTTTTGGCCCATAGAAAGTTACCACCAAGAATCAGGTTGCCTAGCACGTGGCTGGAGTGGGTAGTGCACGCCATGATCCCATGTTAGGCAGCGATTCAGCACGAGTTTGTAGTCTACGTGGGTCACTGAACCTGTCCAATCGGACTTTTGTGTTATGAGGAAAATTGCAAGGTGAGACTCGGGATAGGAAATGAGATTTTGAAAGTGTGTACAACATGGCCCAATTCTTCCTAATCAGGTTGCATGATCTTTCATTCCAAGGCATTGAACTAACCATGACTTTAACAAATTTCTTCATCTACAACATGTTTATAGTACACAAGTTCCTGATATTGCCCTTGAGCTATGAATCTTACAAAATGTGAAAAGAGAACAGCAGCTGATACCCTCAATTAGCACTCTTGAAGTCTACCTATTTTGAGTTATGACTGTCCTATTGTTGACTGCTAAGTACTAACTAGTAGTTCATCCCTCAAGTTGTTTTCTGCCCTGCGGAAATAGATGTTAGTCTTCTCTTTGTTGCTGGTTCAAGCATTCATTTTTGTTTTCATCTCATATACATGAAGAATAAAAAGGATTTGTAGCCAGTCCCCACTTCTGTTAGGATTCTTAAAGTACATAGGAGGACCAGGATAGTGTCCACCATCAGGGCAAATTGCAACAGATATGAGCAGATCTGACAGCCCACACCAGCTGAGCACAACTTGATGACAGGTCCCTCCAATAAAATACAAATATAGCACTTGCAGAATGGTACACATTTCAAACCCCACAAACAAAACCAATTTTAATCTATCTGTGGATTTGGCTACTAGATAAGCAGAGTATTAAACTCAAAAAACATTTTGAACCACTCTCAAAAGGGTTGAAATAAAAGGCAGAGGCAGAGGATACCCTAAAATATGCTCACCGATCGAGCCCTTCCAAAGTTTTAGCAAGTCTTATTGTTACGTAGAACTCAGATATGCATGCAGCTAGAATACAGAACAAAATCTTCTTCCTACAATAACCAGGATGGTGGTCAACATCTGCAGCCTAAACGTCTACATATAGGAAAGTGAAAAAACCACATCAATATCTCAACCATCATAGACTTTACTCTTTAACTTAAATAAGAATGTTGCTGCAGAAACTCTATTTTAGTTTGTAAATTGTGGTAAATGCATGCAAATGAAGTCTATGAACCCATTGAAAGTAGAACTGCAACAAATCCTATTTTACAAGGCAAAATGCAGCCTGCATGAAGCATTTCTAAATATTACAATGGAAATAGCCAGAAAAAATCAATCTGTACTTACTATTTTGAAATTGACAACATAAAATAACAAAGTACAATTTGATGACATCTGCTCATCTAGTCAAGAAATGGGAAATGCATGGTGACAGATAAGTTACACAGATATGTGTATGGCACAAACAAACTTTTAAGCATCACATGTAAAATATGAGTAGAGCCAGCCATGCCAGCCCGCAATTTACAGACTCTCAAAAGATATTAAAGACAAGATAAGCTAGTAAGAAAGAGAACCTGGGAATCCCCTATCTGAAATTTTGACATAGATAAGAAGCCAAAAGAGGACTAATTGCTATTGTCTTCAAGTGCATCAAATGAGAAAAACATGAGAGGACACAAAAGAAAGTGAGTTAGCTTGATCATTTGCGGAAGAAAGAATCTGTGAGTATCTTTAAAGTAGAAATTATTGCAACGATCTTGCGTTTGCCTATGTATGCGGGAAAATATGTGGTGCAAAACAAGGATAAGCTGATGTATTTCACATCTTGATGAGTTGGCCAGCATGCTAGTATGAGGTGGCTTGCACATTCTCTGAGCTTTTTCTATATCTGGATATTTGAGTCCCACAGTGTCAGTCTGCAGACCTCATCAATTTTTGGAATGTTGGTCACCAGTTGCTGACGTAGAGGGGGATCTAATCAAGTTGGTTCACACTGCAATTCTGTGCCTTTAATAGGTTCCAGTTAATAAAAGGCAACCACATCTCACTTTATTGCAAAAATGGCTTTGTTAGGTCATTTGAGGATTACAAAATGATAGATTGTTCAACATTTTTGTTTACCCTATATGAATTAATGTGCTTATTTCTATGGAAAGATAAAGATGGTTAAAATTAAAGCTCTTTTTTTACTTCAAACAGGATCTGAAAACAATATTCTTGTAAAGCCAGAAGAGTAAATCAATACCCAGCTAGTCAAAAAATCAAGAGATGGCAGCATCATTGCCCATTGTCAAACATAGAAGGATCAAATTTATTTCGAATTCCATTATGGTTAGAATAAACCATTTTCCTCATATTCATAAACTGGAAAAGTAAAGAGGGATCTAAATTGAAGATGTGTAGGGATGAATGCATATTGGTTGAACTTGAACTTGAACAATGTAGTCTTCCGTTCCTTTTGTAAGTGCCCTAATACCTAGCAATTATGCACAGCGACATCCTAGATGCAGGGCAGTAAATATACACATTTAATCATTCCAGAAACCATAGTGTAACATTCATGAGCTTACATCTGTATAGTCTGATTTCACATCTCAGTATAATACTTTATGGATTTTTACGGCCATATGGCAGCAGGTAGAAACGTTAGTAACTGATATGAATTAGCAGTGATACAAAGCAAACCACGTAATGTGAACCCATCCTGCCTTAGTGGTACTTTTTATGGCTCCACAGGATTCATTGGGGGAGGAGGGGAAAGCTTAGTTTGAAACCAAGCCCTATATGTCCCCATCAAGCACCTTAACCACTAGGCCAAGGGCTTGGGAACTGCCTTAGTGGTACCTTTACTTCACAAGAATGTCATGATTGTTATTTTGATATTTTCTTGTGTTTCTAGATGCCACCTATTTATGCCTGCAGTTGTCTTCATTGTGGCGGTAGGCTAGTGGTAGCTTAGGGAAAGTAGATATTTTCTGTCAATACTTCAGTGCTTCACAAATTAAAGCACCTTTCAGTAATTTTAAACTTGTAACTTTAATATTAGGGAAGTAGATCATGTTCCTGTAATTAAAGTTGTAAAGTTTAGCTCCCCTAGTTCTATGCCTAAGTGGACTGTAGGTTTAGATATCCTCCAATGATCATTCTCTACTCTTCCTTAAATATGAATAAGCCCAATCAAACATGGGCAACTCCAATTCCTACATCCACAGGACCCATTCATAGATCAAATCCTTTGTTTAGGTATATACCTATGTGATGATGGCTTCCTTCTTAAGCCCCAATCTAGATGTCACTCAGTGTGCACAACTTAGCTCCGCATAATCAACTTACAAAAGACTACAGAGCTTATTGAAAATTTTAGAAAGAAATAAGTATTAAGGTCATGACGTGAGACCCAAAGCGATTTGTCCAGAACGAATACTGAATCAGAGAGCTGGCAACCTTGGCAAAAATTGAGCAAGCATTTGCCGGCAATGATCATAATCAATATGGCCAATCAATTTATTCAAGACTTTAAGTAAAAAAAATTAAGCATGCCAAATCAATGAACAAAGAGAGCTTCAACCGATATCAGAATCAATGACAAACATGAGAAAATTTTCAGTAAAAAGCACTGTCTAGCACTTCCCTAAGTCCAAAGCTCAAATAGTCTAAATTCTAAACCATAATTGACAACTGCATACCTGTTTGCTGCTAGTACACGAAAGGTATGAATTTGTACCTAACTGTACTTGCATACTCTGAATAACTCTCCCCAAAATTCTCTACCATTAAAACCTCCTCCAATTTTGCTTTCTGCTCATAATACATCAAACAAACTGCTACAACAAATAGCAAGCTAAGAGGTGCTCTAAGTGCAACAAAATAAGTTGCAAACAAAAGCATTGTAGATGCATATATCGGATGCCGAACCCATCTGTATGGCCCAAATTGTACAACAGCTGTTGGAACCACTACCTTCTCTGAATACTTAGCAAGATACAATGTTGAATTATATTGCATCAACAGAGCTGCCATAATCAATATCCAAACTCCAACATTGCTCCAACCTCCCGGGATTTGATGAAGCTCTGGAGCTTCAAATGCAGCAACCCAGTGCCCAACCATGACCCCAACACAGAACAAAAGGCGATACCATTTGGGTGGATTCACATCCCACTTAGGATCATGTGGACGAGCATAACAATCTCCATATAGTCGTTTTCTTACACTTACATTGAAGAAAAAGAAATAATGGTATACAAAGAAGAAGACAAAGGGCCAACCTTCAAGATAGCCATTGAAATAAGCAGGGGGTACTAGAGTCAGCCAAGTGAACACTGATGTAACAATAGCAAGTTGCTCTACAATGTTTGCTTCACCAATCGAATGCTTCCGAAAACAATATAAACCATAAAAAGCAAGCGCTATAGCTACCAACCATGGCCAGAACACCCAAGTCCAGCTGAAGTACATCCAAAAGAAAGGGTTGAAAACCAAATTTGCAGTCCTTTTAGTAGCTGCAATTGCAATGGAAACTATAGCAGCCCATTTGACAATCTTTATAGGAGTTAACTCAGAAAGACTTATTTTGAGTGAATCAAAGGAGAGGTTTTCGAAGGGTCTAAGCAAAGGGTTATGAGAATCTGAGCTAGAATTGTTAGAAAATGAGCATTTGACAGGAGACAAAACGTGGGTTCTTGTTTTCTGAACTGTTGACGATGAAAGACAGAAACTTGGAGCATTTTGGACGGGTTTGAGGCTCTGTTGAGAATAAAAACCCTTGCTTTTAAATTGTTTGTTGAAATGCCTACAAGAAACTATTTGGTTGCCCTTCAAATTGAAGCCGAAAGGGATTGTTCTTGAGTGCAGCAGCACTGAGGCAGTTTCCATGGATTGTCTTGAAAAAGAAAGCTGACAACTTTTTTTTTTTTTATCCAAATCCACGGTGAAACATTTGTTGTTTTGTTCAAAGATAAAATGAGAAAGCAATTTTCTTTCAAGCTTCTGCAGCCGTTTGCAATTCGCAGATTAGTAGCAGAGAAGATGGATCCTCGGCCCAATTATTAACTTGAGAAAATGGGCCATATCTCTTCCTTGTGGCCCAATTTGTTTTATTGGACAAACCAATGGCCCAACTTTTTAATCAAATAAATTTAAGAAAAAAAAAGTTGGACACTGTAATTTTTTTTAAAATTTTATATATTTTTTAATTAATAATTTTAATAAATTTAAAAAATAGATTAAATTATTTTTATTTTTATTTATCTATCCTTTATATTTATTAAAATAAATGATTAAAAAATATATAAATTAAAAAAATTACACTATATAAATTAATTTTCATAAAAAAATTTGATAATTTTACATAAATAAATACTCATATAAAGAAAACAAAACCAGCAAAATTCGTTAATATGAATATAAAATATCTCGTGCCCAAACACTCCTTATATATCATCTTCCTTTTTCAACTCCAAAAAAAAAAAAAAAAAAAACACAAATTTTTTCTAGCTTAAAATTCAACCAAAATCCTACTAAAAATCGAAATAAGTTGATTGATTAGATTAAAAATCGAAATTTTCATCATTATATAATCATTATTTTTTAATGAAATTATTTTATAATAATTTTTATACAATGAAATCAATCATATAATTTTTCTATCAATGTTTTATTTTTCATTTTCAAAAATATAAATAAAACTACTTTTATATATATTTTTTATATTATATAATATATTTAACAAATATATTAAAAATTCTGTTAATTAAAACAATTTGACTATTAATTTTAAACACAAAAAAAAGGAAAGAATAAATTAACTAAATTATTTTTTTAATTAATTATCAATTAAAACTTGCTTATTGCATTCACTATTTTCAACTGTCATATCTGAATTGAAACCACGGCCTGGTTTGGCTGGCTCGTGTTTGTGTCTTGTTTGCCAAGGAAACCTAAGAAACGAACCCAACGCATTTGCTGAACTCAATACAAATATAAAATCGACAACCAGATCAACAAAATCCGTTTTATATGACCACAAAATATCTCGCGCCCAAACACTCCCTATTTATCATTATCCTTTCTCAACTCCCAAAAAAAAAAAAAAATCACTAACGCTATTTACTAGATTGTATCTGAACTTAAGTCTCTGTTTGTTTTTTTTTTTTTTAATCTTTTTTTATATAATAATATTGTGATTTTTCTTCCTTAAGTCATCAAAATTATGATATTGTCTAAGCTACGCCGTTCGTATTCCCGGTCTTCTCATTCAAGAGTAATGCTTTTTTTTTTTTTACTAATTTAATTTTCTCAGTTCAATTTCTTACTTTTTTTTTTTGGCTTACTTATCTACTTTGTAAATAGAATTTGTTGTATCGTGGCGGAGGAGGTGGCTGCACAGGCGGAAGGTCGCCCGGCTTGCCGCGTTTGAGCGGGAACGTAAATCGACTAATCGGGGAATTAGGGTTTTTGAGGGGATATTTAGCTTCAATTGGAGCTGGAAAGGAGTTTACTTCAAAGACTTATTTGTCAGATTTAAGTTTCGTTCTTGCTAACCCTAAAATCCGTCGCTTTTTCTCAAGTGAAGCCCCAAAGAAGAAGAGTAAGCCAAATATCACCTTTTTATTTTCAATTTTCTAGGTAATAAATTGGTTAATACGTGTTAATTGATGTTGCCTTTATTAGGTTTTATTTGCAAAATTGAAATTTTTTTTAATAATTTGAGATTAGTTAAATGGAATAAAGTCTTTATTTTATTGTTTTAGATGAAATGGCTTGTTCTTAACTCTTAAGTGCCAAGAAAGTTTATGGTTTAGCATTTTGGGAATTTTTACATTGATTTTTCGTAGTAAAGTTTGATGAGTTAATGAAGGAACCGGCTTTAGCATTTTGGGTATTTGCATTGGTTTGAACTTGTTGTTACTGTTGGCTATTGTCTTTTAATGGTTATTTGTAGATTATGAGAACTTTCACCCTAAGGAAAAGAAGGAAACTCCAAACCAAAATGACCAAAAATCTGACTCCAAAGGTGAGTAAATATCCCCTTACCCCTTTATTTTCAGTTTATAATTATGTTTTTCAAGTTAGTTTTTCAATGTTGGACTGGAAAAAAAATCAGTTTGTGAAGATGTTGTGAAGATAACAGTTTTAAATTTCTTTCAAAGAGAAAAAATGTCACTGATGTTCTTTCCACGAGCAGCAGTTAGGATTGGGGAAAGTGAAGTGTAGTGCCATTTTCTGAAAAGCTCTAAGCGGTAGTAAAATTATTTTTCAAGACTTAGTTCTATGTGGTCTTTCCCTTTTACAATCATGTGATGCGAGAAGCTGTGAGATTGGATTTTGAAATGATCTATTCTAGGATGATTGTCTTAGCCTTGCAGATTTTTACCATGTCAAGGTTGCTATTAAAGTAGAACACTGGAGCTACCTGTTTTGCTATTTTACTGTATATGAGTCTTATCTATGAATCTACTCTCAGATTGCCTGCAAGATAGCTTACAAAGAACTTTTACAGTTTTTTACTTTTTTTTTTTTTTTATTTCAGAGGATTCCAACACAGATGACAGATGGAATTTTCAGGAAACTTTCCTGAAGTTTTTTCAAAATTTGATCAGCCCTTTGTTATTTCTTGCACTGTTTCTTTCTCTCTCTCCTTGGATTGTTGAGCAGCAAGAAGTAAGCAATCCCCAAATTATTTCAACTTGTTGATTGTATGCATATTTAAGTTGCGGTTCTGATCTTTACAATGCTATAAGACTCTTCATATTTTGAGGTTAGAAAATAGATTGTAATAGAATATTGAGTCATATGTCAACTGTTATAAGCATATGGTAAAAGGCCTGCTTTTCATTTTTTATACATATATTTCCTATGTAACTTAGTTGCTGTGTTTAAGCATTTTCATCCTTTTGACAGGTGATTAAAGAATTCAGTTTATTGGAAAATATATTTAGAAGCACGTGCATCTGTGATATATTTGGTTTTGGATTATGGTAATGGGTATTTGGTGGGTAAAAATTGTAGCTACTCAACAAATAGTTTAGTCAATGCTGGGTTTGGGAACATTTTCAAGTTTTATGGTTGAGCTTCATCTGCTCCTTGATCGGACTGAATTCATTCAACTTACATAATCTGCATCATGGTGACTGATTTTTTTAATTGCATTTTTAAAACAATAGAGAAGCTCTATGAGGAAACATAACTCCTTTTCTAACCTATTTGTGGTAAAGCTACTTGCTTGTGTAGAGACTTTACCACTAATTGAGTTGCTATAACATTTTCATACTTGTCTTGGAGTTGTGTTCAGCTTTTATGCAAGTGGAGCTGAATTCTTGATTTGTTTGCACCCATTTTTTTGGATCAGTATTAGACTTCTCATTCTCACAAGACATGTCCTTTGGGTGATTGATGTCTTGAGAACCTTTTAAATGGAACATTCTGACTTAACCATGTCATGTAATATATCTGATCACTGGCCAGTTTGGAATTTCTGTTCATTCTTCCACATTAGTTTGGTATTTAAATATAAGTAAAGTTCGTCTGTTTTCTTAGCTTATAAGCAAAGTTCATCTATTTTCTAAGCTTTTTTTTTTTTTTCATTGTTATGGAACACTTTCTTACAGATTAGTTTCCAAGAGTTCAAAAACAAGCTTCTGGAACCAGGTTTTGTTGACCATATAGTTGTTTCTCGTAAGTCAGTTGCAAAAGTGTATGTGAGAAGCACACCACAAAATCAAACAAGTGATGATGTTATTCAAGGGCCTGCTAATGCTGCTTCTGTCAGAGGACATGGAGGCCAATACAAATACTTCTTCACTATTGGAAGTGTTGAGTCTTTTGAGGAGAAGTTGGAAGAAGCCCAAGAAGCTTTGGGGATTGATCCGCATGATTATGTTCCTGTGACATATGTCTCTGATATGATGTGGTATCAGGAGTTGATGAGGTTTGCACCAACATTATTACTTATTGGAACCCTCGTATATATGGGGCGAAGAATGCAAGGTGGATTGGGTGTTGGCGGCAGCGGTGGTAAGGGTGCTCGTGGAATTTTCAACATAGGGAAAGCCCATGTAACCAAAGTGGATAAAAATTCCAAGAATAAGGTCTGTTTTATGTTTCTCATACTGGTGCTTAAAAAGAAAAACTCGAATCTGAAAATTTTCGGTTTTATTTATTTTTGATTACCTAAACTTATAGGCCTCCTTTTGCATTTTGTTGCTAGAATATAAAAAGGTACTCAGATGATATATTCCTCTCTGTTCTGTTTCTGGTCGGTCCAGGTCTATTTCAAAGATGTCGCTGGCTGTGATGAGGCAAAACAAGAGATCATGGAGTTTGTGCACTTTCTTAAGCATCCAAAGAAATATGAAGAACTAGGAGCTAAAATTCCAAAAGGTGCTCTTTTGGTGGGGCCTCCTGGTACAGGAAAGACCCTCCTAGCAAAAGCAACTGCTGGCGAGTCCGGTGTACCTTTTCTATCAATATCAGGTTCTGATTTTATGGAGATGTTTGTTGGTGTTGGACCATCCAGGGTGAGGAACTTGTTCCAAGAAGCAAGGCAGTGCGCTCCTAGTATAATTTTTATTGATGAAATTGATGCGATTGGTCGAGCAAGAGGCCGTGGAGGCTTCTCAGGTTCTAATGATGAGCGTGAAAGTACGCTTAATCAATTGCTAGTAGAAATGGATGGCTTTGGAACCACTTCTGGTGTAGTTGTACTTGCTGGTACTAATAGACCTGATATTTTAGACAAAGCTCTATTGAGGCCAGGGCGATTTGATCGTCAGATTGCAATAGATAAACCTGATATTAAAGGTCGTGAACAGATATTTCAGATCTACTTGAGAAAGATAAAGCTTGATAATGAGCCATCCTATTACTCTCAAAGACTTGCAGCTCTCACTCCTGGGTTTGCTGGAGCAGACATTGCAAATGTTTGTAATGAAGCTGCTCTAATTGCTGCAAGGAATGAAGGGACACAGGTCACAATGGAACATTTTGAGGCTGCTATAGACAGGATCATTGGTGGTCTGGAGAAGAAGAACAGGGTAATTATTTCTTGTCAATGTGATTGTTGTAATAGTTGCTTTTCTGCGCTTATGTTCTATTGATGGAAGTAAGATATCTATTATCTTGGAGAAGATTGAAATGACGTCTTCTTCATGTTCACTTTTGTTTGTTAATGGTGGGAAAATACAACCTGTGACTTCTTTCAGTTAAACATAGCCCTTTTTTTTCAGTCATTAATATGAAACGGTGATCTTTGCATTGCATGTTATGTTCAGAGAGGTGATAAATAACTTTACATCAGCATTTTATGGCTTCTTCTTTTTTTGCTATTCACCCTAATAACCTGATTCTTCTGGGTTTCAAGCAGGTTATAAGTAAACTTGAACGGAAGACTGTTGCTTATCATGAATCAGGTCATGCTGTTGCAGGCTGGTTCTTGGAACATGCTGAACCCCTCTTGAAAGTGACAATTGTTCCTCGTGGTACAGCAGCGCTTGGTTTTGCCCAGTATGTTCCAAATGAAAATTTTCTCTTGACAAAGGAGCAGCTTTTTGATATGACGTGCATGACCCTTGGTGGTCGAGCAGCTGAACAGGTAAAACTGAAATTTCCTACTCCATGTGACCATGGGTGGGTGCAAATAAGCAACCAAAAATTCTTGGAAATGGTGACTTGAATGCCCCCTTAATGGTTTTTGTGTTCTTGTTATATAGTCACCCAATATTCTATCATTGAGGCACAAAATGGAATTTAAAAGTGAAAATTACATCCAGTTTTTCAATTATGATGTATATATATTGAGAACTTTTTTTTTTTTTTTTTTTTTTTTTTAATTCATGATTCAGGTTTTATTGGGAAAGATATCAACAGGAGCGCAAAATGACTTAGAAAAGGTGACTAAGATGACCTATGCCCAGGTGGCAGTTTATGGTTTTAGTGACAAGGTAGGTCTCCTCTCCTTCCCTCAAAGGGATGACGGATTTGAGATGTCCAAGCCCTATAGCAATAAGACGGGGGCTATCATAGATGTTGAAGTGCGAGAGTGGGTAGCCAAGGCATACGAAAAGACTGTGCAACTTATAGAGGAACATAAAGAACAGGTAGCTGAGATTGCTGAATTGTTGCTCGAAAAGGAAGTTCTTCACCAAGATGATTTGATTCGAGTTTTAGGCGAAAGACCATTTAAATCAAGCGAACTTACCAACTATGACAGATTTAAGCAAGGGTTTCAAGAGGAAGATAATAAGGCTGTGCAAACCCCTGAGGGTGGAACTGTGGAAGGTGATGATGGATCCGCACCCCTTGATCCTCAGGTTGTCCCTACTTGAACTCTGAGGTTGCCATGATTGTACATTGAGTTTAATAAATCTTTTATCGATTTCCCTTTGCACAATCCTTTTTCTGCAATTTCCACTAATGACAGTCTCTTTGTACATCATCTAAGGTGGCATTACTCTTATAATGGATAGCTTGCGGAATTGAAAGATGGAAAAAAAAGTGTCATTCTTTATGTTTATGTTGTATATGTTCGTTAGTTGAAACACGTGATTAAGTATCTTTCAAAGCGAAAAGTAACTGCAAAGTAACATAAATTTACTCAGTGAATTCGACTGTGAAAATGCCAACAGGTTTTGCTCGCAAAATTCAGTAAAAATTACTCTTAACGTTAAAATTCTTAGCAAGTTTCTTTGTCCGAAAAATTTGTGACATAATTATGCCAAAAACTTGAAAAGGAACTCCTATTTTCTGTCAAAGCATGGGGATCGTGAGCAGTGAAATGATTGTACCTAACGCTTAAGAAACTAAAGAATTTTGAAGGGTTATTTTAGCTGTCGTCCTCAAGTTTGGCTCAGGAGGGTCAAAATAATGTTGCCTGTCAGTGGTCATACCTTCCTTTTCATACTTTAGGATGCAATCACACAGAAGGATTCATGTGGCTTTCATGTCTCCTTCCTTAACGATGCTTCTTTTTATAACTATCATCTCCTTCAGTGTCTTGTATTTTTGTCTTATACCTTGATCCTTTTCACTTCTTTTTCTCCATGCCAATTGTTCAGGGATTATTTGAGTTTTGTGTTGAGCTCTGACATAAGGGTAGTCCTATAAATACATAAGAAAAAAATGGCTAGAGGTAAATGCAGGAAATGTTTTTTGCGTTTGCATTTCGATGCACAAATCAATAAAAATCAAGTCAGAAAGGAAATGAGAAAATAGAAAAGAAAGAAATGTATGAATTAGATGAACTTGATTTCATAGTGCCTGAATTTTCGTATTTATAGGCAAGGTGAAGGGGACAATTAGAATAGGGTCGAGCTGAGGTGACATTAACGATGTTAGATTGACTTGACATGTCAAGTCAGCACAAATAACCAATATACCTCTAATTGTCTATTGGAGACTAAAAGAGGGGAAAAAGATTACTATGCTCTTTTGACCATTATATGCTCATAACACTCTGTTCTCCTATCAAGCAATCTAAGTATCATATCACCAAATTTGTTATCGACGTCTTCGGTGTGGGGTAAATGGTTGCATATTTTGTCGAAAGTCGACATTGTAAGGGGAGGTCAATTCTGAATGATGACTATCTTTGAGCTGTGGTCCGACCTGATGGTTATCCGATCTTGTATTTGTGTTTTTGGATGAGTACATAGTCGATTTAAAGGTTGCCGAGGTGACAATTATCTTGAGTGATTTGATATTATGGCTAGTGTTTGCATGGTCGTGGTGAGTCTTGTGTTTTTTTTCGAGAATTTAGGCTTAAGCCTTTGTTTTGAGCCCTGGGAGTGAATCGGGTTCGTGACTTGCCTCTAATAGTCGTCTAGTTTAGTTGGTCCAATCTAGGATTCTGACACATAGTGAGGATCGTGCCTGCTTCTATATAAAGGGGCTAGTAGGGCTTCAATTTTTCATCTTTTGCTTTCTTTGCTTTCGGTCTAACTTAAAATTTTCGATCTCCACAACTTCTTGCCCTTTCAAGTTTTTTCTACTTTTGCTTTCGTATGTATTTCTAACCATGTCTTCTAGTATGAGTTTTGAAAGGCTGAGAGCTATATGGTAGAGCCAAGGGGAGGTAAGCAAAGTAGTAGGATGACGACCTGATCTCTCATGTTATTAAAGGTCATACCTATACGAAAGACGGCCTATTGGTTTAATCTGATATCCGAGGAAGGGCAGTGGCACAATGAAGAGAATGCTCGGGCAAGAAGCGATCGGGTTTTAAACACTAAAGAGCTGTGAGCTCAAATCGACTTCAAACTTCAAAGTCCACTTGCTTTTTCCTTCTTTCGGGTCGATCTATCTTATTTGGTTGACCTTTCTTCCTTTTCAGTTATTCCCTTTTTGGAGTTCAATCTTTTCTACCTCATACCACTTCTACTTTTCCCCCTCAATAAGTTTTTTTTTTGACATTTTGTCCTTTCCTGAAGGGTATTCACCTTGTCCCTTTTTCTTCAAGATTGAGCTGCTTTCGTTCACTATTCTTTTTCAGGATCCATATCCCACTCCAAAATTAGATGCTTCTGACAAATAGGGTTCCAATGAGGAATAAGAGGAAATGAGTACCTCAGTAAAAAAAAATGATGGTGAGGGAAAGAGTCTTGTAGAGTAGGACAAACTCGTTGAAGTCTTTGTATATACTTCGTGTGACATCGACGTGATCTCTAAGGATGTGATGAGTGAGCTAAATGATAGAGCAAATTTTGAAAACTGTCCTAACATATACTCAGCACATCACATTCGAGCTCTGGGTACTACTTTTTTTTTTTTTTTCAGAAAGGGGTATAGTATAATAATGCTACTCTTTAGACCAGGTTATTGATAAGTTAGAACCACATCGATTATATATATTAGGATTCGTTTGTGGTCTGTTTAAGGCTTTCACTTCATCCTTTATTCGTTTTAATTTTTAATTTTTATGATTTGACAATTACTTAGCTCACCCCTAATTCTGTTTGGTACATAATCTCTTTTATCATTTTTGTCAACATTTAAATATTCTTCCTTATCTCCCTTTATTTAAGGAGTTTTTTTCTCTTAAAAAATTCTAGTGATAGTAAGTAATTTTATATCATAGATTGGCTAAATAAAATGATTCTCATTGATTGCTCGAGTTCAATAAAGAATTGAAAGTTGCTCTTCCTATGCTTGAAAAATAAAAGGTCAATAAAAATGGTGAGCCTGAGGTTAAAGCTTGAGAAATAAAGAATACACTTGGTTCCTTTGTAGATGCACCAGTAGCCCGCTCTATTCTTAATTTGTCAGATCGAGATAAAATTTTGAATTTTACACATAGGGGGAGCTTGTTATCACATTCATGGGCTAACCTCCCTAAAAGAAATAAACAATATAAAGTATTAGGGTAGGTTTGAAATAACCTTATTAGGTTTTGTTTTGAGTTGATATTTCATCTAATTGTTAGCTTAATTTTACAGATATGGTTGAAGTTGGAGAAGACTTCAATGTCGCTTTATACTAAAATGCCTCGAGGCCCAAGAGGGAAAAAAAATCTAGCTTAGGGCCCCATCGAGTAAGGGAGACAAAGTGGTCAACACACTCATATCTCACATTCTCTCAAGTCGAAAGTTAAAGGTCAGAGTAGGTGAGGACTTATCCTTCGGGTCAGTGCCAACGTCACCCCTAGCCAAAAGATCATGGGTGAATGTGTTATTTATTCCTCTTAAAAACCTTAAGGCTAATGTGTTAAGACCTAGTTCAGAGAAGGTAACTGTGGGGTTGAAGTTTGCTCCAACAGATGACTCAATCTCTAATCTCAATGTTGCTAAAAGGTTATGCAATGTCATAGTTCCTCATTTTAGTGAGTTCTTCTTGACATCAGCTTGGTTTCTTTCTACTATTTTTGTTTTATTTTTCTAAGTCCAAGGTTTTTTCTTGTAGTTTAAAAGAAATTCCCACCTTAGCCTATGAAAAATAGTAGTTGAGCCCTCAATTACACTTATCTTGTAATGGAACATATGTTAAAGGCTGAGAGAGATGTCATTGCCCTTGTTGAAAAGCATAAAAAGAGATCAGAAGCACTGGATAGTGTCAAATCGAGCCTTATTACATCCCACAAAAAGAAGGCAGAGCTAAAAAGAAAAGTAGACGACTTGGTAATAAAGCTAGAGGTCGTTTCAATGGATAAAGCCTCAGTCATATTGATGAAAAAATAGGCCAAGCTGAAACTTAATAATGCACAAGTTGAAATTGCAAGACTAAAGTTTGAGCTGGAGGTTTGAGACAAAAAAAAAAAAGAAGAAAAGCTATGGGTGAAGGCTGTAGAAGAGTACAAGGCCTCCAATGAATGTCTCTAGGTAAAGGCAGAATTATCTAAGAAGAATGTTCTTGGTGCTTTTTAACTAGCCGAGGAAAAAGTGCAATTTAAATTCTTCTCTCTCAACCTTGACTTTTTTAATATTGATATCAACAATATCATATTAAGGCTTATTTTGAATTATCCTGAGAAGGATGAAAAAGAAGATGAGGAAGAAAAAAAGAAAGAAGATGAAGATCAGGCCCTAAAAGAAGAGTTGAAGGCTGCCATAGAGACAAAAGAGGAAGATGTGGAGGTTGTTGAAGCTGAGGTTGTTCCTCTCACTACCGTTGACGAGAGCGTTCCTCTAACTGCTGCTGATAAGGGTATTTTCATCTTGTTGCTACTGATGAATAAATTTGATGTATTTTTGTTTTTGTTTTTGTAAACTTTTTGTACATTTTTTGACTTTGAGGTAAAGTTTTTTGTGAAGACTTTCCATACTCTAACTAATGTACTTAGTTATGTTGGAATAAAAAAATTTTTTTTTTTTAGTTTTAACTCATTTTTACTATTGTTTGTTTTTTTATTTGCATTAGTTCGAGAACTGTTTACCAATCCAAAGGTAAATAATTAGACTGCAAACTTGTGTAGTTATTTTAGGTTAGATTAATGTAACTATGAGTTTTAGGATGAATTTTTTCAAATGGCTTCAAATCACTTGTAGACAAGCTTACTGAAAATAATTCCATTTGTGAGTTCGGTTAGAACTAATCTAATGATAATAGATCTTTAATTACATTTTATATCCTCAGGATAAAATAACACAAGTGCGAGTTCAATTTGCTTCGATCTATTGTAACCAAGTTGACTCGTCTTTTGTATACTTGGGTGGTAACGTCATTCATAAAATAGCACAAGCGTAAGCTCTATTTATATCTAGCTATTGATAATAGACCTTTAGGTTATCTGTATTCCATGTTCTTAGGACAACATCACTATTATGGTTTTGTAATTTATAAGTTGCATCGTGGACGCCCTTTTTAACAACATATGGTCCTTCCCACATTAAGGCCAACTTTCCACCTTAATCATCTACCCTTGAGGCTTTTACTTTTTTAAATATCATATCACCATTTTTGATGTGTTTATGTTGGATTCTTTTGTTATAATAATTGGCTACCTTTTGCTAGTAAGTTACAATTTGAGTTACGGCTATGTCTTTTTTTTTTTTTCAAGAGGTTTAGGTCAGCTTTAAGCATCTCTTCATTTTTATCTTTTGATGCTAATTCAACTCTTAAACTCAGCAAGTTGATCTCAACTGGTATTATAGCCTCTGTTCTAAAAATCAAGTGAAATGGAGTTTCACCTGTATGGACCTTTATGGTTGTCCTTAAGGCCA